CCGATGATTATGTTTTTTTTTTGTTTTGTTAGCTATGTATTTATTAAGTCTTAAAATTATGTATTTTGGGTTGTAAATCGCTATCCCGTATCTTGAGGTTTTTGAAACTAAAATTTATTTAATGAAGGTTGGAAGTTTTTGTTTTGTAATCATGGTGTTACAAATATGATATCAGAGCAATAGTTTAAGTGAACTAGGTATCAATAATGGTATCTAGGCTTAAACTAGGCGTTGATGTTATATAATAACTAGGCGATGATTTATACGGGATATGGACCATTAGGAAAGACCAAGGTTGGGTAAGGGACCATAAATAGGATACTATTTAATACTCTATATTTTAATACTCTCACCATGTGTGCACCTTTTAGGACGATGGTTGATGATGATGTTGTTAGTCACACTCCAACAAACCCTAATGTTGGAGAAAACGATCCCGACCTCAACCTGAATGAGGATGCTACACCGTTGTCTCCCTGTAGTGAACGCTTAATGAAACGACTTACGACTTTCATTCAACAAACTTTTGAACATCATAAGCATGACATAGAAAAGGGTAAAGAGAAAGAGCTGGGTGGTCTCTCAAAACCCAAATCTGAACGGGTCTCATTTAAAAGCTTCCGAAGTAGTGGTGCAACTGAATTCACTGGACTCTCTGACCCGGTAATCGCGGTGCAGTGGCTTCAAAACACTGAAAAAGTGTTTTGAATTTCTCGAGTAATGAATGAGGATAAAGCGAATTATGCTAGTGCAATGTTGACAGAGCGTGCACTCACTTGGTGGGATGCAACTTTTGAATCCCTGACTGAAAATGAACGAGAAAGCTTGACCTGGGAGTCTTTCAAGACTCGTTTCCTTGAGCAATTTTGTCCGATCGACTTGCAACGAAGGCTTGAGAAAGAATTCTTGGAACTCAAGCAAGGGAACATGTCTGTGATTGAATATGAGACTCAATTTAATCGTAAGGCACGTTTTGCCTTATGATTCTTATCTTCTGAACATGATCGAATAGAGCATTTTCTTGATGGTCTGAGGAGAGAAATCCGGGAGTTTGTTGTTAATCGTGATATTCCGAGTTTCAATAAAGTTGTGGAGTATGCTCGTCGCCGTGAATACGATTTAATGAAATTTGAGGAACCAACTTCTGAATCAAAAAGGCAACAAACTGAAAGAACCTTCTCTGTACCTACTCAGCGACAATCTCGATCTTTCACTCCTAGAAGGAGTCAATCTCAAAATATTCCGCGTGCCCAATCACAAGTCTATTCACTTCAATCTAATGCATCAGGTCCTTGTCAAAGATGTGGCAAAACTCACCAAGGGCGATGCCTTACTGAAACAACAAACTTGAAATGTTTTTGCTGTGGGGAAATGGGTCACGTTCGTGTAAACTGCCCAAAAAGAAATCGAGCATGTTATTCTTGTGGAGTATTTGGGCACCGACAATTTGAATGCCCCCGTATGAGGGGGGAAAAAAGTAAGGCGTCAATGCAGCAACCGGCAGTGGGTGGTGCTTCAAGTCAAAAGGAGGAGATACCAAAAGCACGAGCTCGAGCTTTTCAGATTACCGCGGAGGAGGCTTGCAATGTGGCAGACGTCATTATTGGTATTTTCTTTGTTAACTCTAGACCTGCTTGTATCTTGTTCGATTCTGGAGCTACAAATTCTTTTGTGTCGCATGTCTATGTTCGTTATTTAGAATCTATGCCACTTATGTTTTCTATACCATTTACCGTTGATACTGCTAATGGATTCACTTTGGTAGCTGATAGAGTGTTTAGAAACTGCACTTTAGTGTTAGACGAATATGACTTTTTAGTAGATTTGATTCCTATGGATATCCGTGGTTTCGATGTCGTGATTGGTATGGATTGGTTAGTGAAGAACCGTGCGGATATCATTTGTTCTCAGAGGATGATTTGAATACCAGTTGAGAATGGAGACTACTTATACATTTATGGGGAAAGACGTATAGGTGACTTGAAGGTAATATATATGCTTAAAGCACGACGTTATATTGCTAAGGGTTGCTCTTCTTTCATGGCATATGTTTTGGATGCAACCAAAGAAATGAAGAAAACTGTAAAAGATGTACCAATTGTGTGTGAATTTCAAGATGTTTTCCCTGACGACTTGCCTGGGGTACCGCCGGATAAGCAAGTAGAATTCCGTATTGATTTAGTGTCGGGTGCTGCACCTATTGCGAAGGCACCTTATCGCCTCGCACCAACCGAGATGGAAGAGATGATGAGTCAGTTGTAAGAATTGCTAGATAATGGCTTTATTAGACCGAGCACTTCCCCTTGGGGTGCTCCGGTATTGTTCGTGAAGAAGAAAGATGGATCCTTTCGTATGTGCATCGATTACCGCGAATTGAATAAGGTAACGATAAAGAACAAATATCCATTACCGCGTATAGATGACTTGTTCGATCAATTGCAAGGCGCAAGTTATTTTTCAAAGATTGATTTGAGGTCAGGTTATCATCAACTTAAGGTACGTGAAGAGGATGTACCAAAGACAGCTTTTTGTACCCGATACGGACATTATGAATTTCTTGTTATGCCATTTGGATTGACTAATGCTCCTGTAGCCTTTATGGATATGATGAACCGAGTGTGTTGTCCTATGCTTGATAAGTCTGTTATTGTTTTCATCGATGACATTCTGGTATATTCTAAGTTTGAGGCTGATCATGCTACACATCTTCGAGAGATGTTGGAACTATTGCAGAAGGAAACGTTATATGCTAAATTCTCAAAATGTGAATTTTGGCTCGTCAGGTGCAATTCTTGGGGCATGTGATTTCTGGCAATGGCATTTCTGTGGAACCATCCAAGATTGAAGCTATACATAAGTGGGAGCAACCCAAGAATGCTTCTGAAGTTCGTAGTTTTCTTGGTTTAGCGGGTCACTATCGTCGATTCATACAGGATTTCTCAAAGATTGCAGTACCGCTTACTTCACTTACTCGCAAAGAAGTGAAGTTTGTATGGACTAAAGCTCAAGAGAATGCATTTCAGACTTTGAAGGATTGTTTAACTCATACACCGATACTTGCTTTACCCGAGGGCAATGATGACTTTGTAGTATATAGTGATGCTTCTAAATTAGGTTTGGGATGTGTGTTGATGCAGCGAGGCAAAGTAATTGCATACGCCTCTCGACAATTGAAAGAATATGAGAAGAATTACCCCACTCATGATCTTGAATTGGCAACCATTGTGTTTGCTCTTAAAATTTGGAGACATTATCTCTATGGCACAAAGTGTCAGTTGTTCATTGATCACAAGAGTTTGAAATATATTTTCGACCAACAGACTCTGAATATGCGTCAACAGAAAGCTATGGAATTGATCAAAGATTACGATTGTGAAATTCTATACCATCCTGGTAAAGCCAATGTAGTGGCAGATGCGTTGAGTCGGAAGCCACACGGGACCARTATTTGCTATGCTATCACTCATGTRTCARTGAAGTCTACTMTTATCGATGATCTTCATAGGTGGCAAATCGAGGCATTAAATCCAGAACACCTGAAGTTCGAACGTATGGTTGGTTATGTAGACTCTTTATCTTAAGAAAAGCGTGGTCTCAAAGTCTTTAAAACCCGAATTTGGGTGCCGAGACTTAGGGGTTTGCGAGAGCTTATTCTAGAGGAAGCACACAAAACACGGTTATCTGTTCATCCTGGAGGTACTAAAATGTATCATGATCTCCGTTTAGACTATTGGTGGCCTGGGATGAAAGTTGATATCGGTCGTTATGTCGAGAAATGCATCACGTGTTTACAGGTAAAAGCAGAACACCAAAAGCCGTATGGGAGTCTACAACCTTTGGAGATACCTGTGTGGAAATGGGAAGAGCTAACCATGGATCTTGTTACAAAGTTGCCTAAGACCTCTCATCAGTACGACAGTATTTGGGTTATCGTAGATCGCCTGACAAAGTCTGCTCATTTTCTTCCCGTTCGGGAATCTTATACGATGGATCGGTGGGCACAACTTTATGTTGATGAGATCGTTGCTCAACATGGTGTACCCTTAAAGATAATCTCAGATCGTGACTCTCGGTTTACTTCTACCTTCTGGTCTGGATTACAGCGGGAACTAGGAACGCGGGTGGCATTCAGTACCGCGTATCACTCGCAAACTGACGGGCAATCCGAGCGTACCATTCAGACGTTAGAAGACATGTTGCGTGCTTGTGTCTTGCAGTTTGGTGGGAGCTGGGATACTCATTTGCCTCTGGTCAAGTTTTCGTATAACAACAGCTACCATGCGACAATCGGTATGACACCTTTTGAGGCTTTGTACGGACGTCAGTGTCGTATGCCTCTATGTTGGAGAGAAACTGGAGAAAAGATGCTTGCTGGCCCCGAGCTCATTCAAATTACTCACAACAAGATTCAAGTGATTCGAGAGAGAATGAAAGCTGCACAAGATAGACAGAAATTGTACGCAGATCGCCGCAGAAAGCCAATTGAATTCTCAGTTGGAGATCTAGTAATGCTGAAGGTTTCTCCATGGCATGGGGTACTCCGATTTAGAAAGTAGGGTAAGCTTAGCATTCGTTTCATTGGGCCATTCAAAATATTGGAGCGGGTTGGAAAACAAGCGTATCGGCTTGAGTTGCCAGAAGAACTCACAGGTATCCATGATGTTTTTCATGTTGCTTATCTAAGGAAATGTCTCGGTAAACACGAGGAGGTGGTGCCATTAGCGGAAATCAAAGTAGACAACAAATTGAGATACATTGAAGAACCCGAGGCTATCTTAAATCAACGAACGGTGAACTTGCGCAACAAGGTTGTGAATCTAGTGTTGGTTAAGTGGAAACATCATCGTGGGCCAAATTGGATTTGGGAGAATAAAAAAGAAATGATGGCGAAATACCCGACACTGTTCGAGCAACGATGATTCCGAGGACGGAAGCTTCAAAAGGAGGAGGTATTTGTAACATCCACCTATTTAAATATGTTTAACTAGTAATTATAAGCATACCTTATGTGTTATTTTAAAAAAAATTGCTAAAATGCTAAAAAGCTAAGTATACTAGTGAGCTATAAGTAGAACTTATAATTGGAATGAGATGTAGAAGGTAAGATTGGTGCTAACACCTCACAATTGACATAATTAGATAATATGAGGGTTCAACATACAAAGTACATTGCATACATGATAGTTGGGTAGGTATCTAGAGTGCCTAAATGAGAAAAATCTACCCAAAACTTGAATGGAAGATCTAAATGGTGATCCAAATGTTGGAACACCTTTGAATAAGTAAATATTAAGTGTTAGAATTGTCGGAAGTCGAAAAAGTCGCGTAGATTGCATTTTACGCAAGTTTTTGAAATTACGGTATGATTTTGATAAATTACGTGCACAATACTCAATCGGGAGGTTTTTGATAGGATATTAAGCTTTGGAACTAGGTTTTGGACCTATTAGGAGTTGTTGGAGGTGGCGAAAAATTTTTACGGGATTCCAAACTCAAAATCAAAAACGGAAAATTTCAAAGGAAAGCATAACTCGTACAAATATGAAAACTGCTGTTATTGGGAGGTTTTCTATGAGAACATTTTTTTTGTAAATTATATATTATCTTGTTATGAACACGTAGGAGAAAACTTTATCGAAAACGGAGTTTTGAGCGAAAAGTTATGCAATTTTTAGTGTTTAATGGTCAAAACGGGTACCCAGTCGGGTCAAACCGACCCAACTCGGGTTTTAGACATATAAACACGAATTCAGCCCCAATTCTTCCCCATTTTCGTTTCTAAGTTTCTGTACTCTTCAAGGGAACCAAACTTGGGTGTTTTAGCAAGAAATTGGTGAAATTTTGCAAGATTATTGAAGGTATGCTTCCATTTTTGATAATGTATTCAGTTTGAGTTCAAGAAACCATGAAATTAGGGTTGCATGTTGAGAATTATAAGCTGAAATTTTGATATTGTATAGGATATGTAATACATAACTTATTATCTTGTGGAAATCATGATTAGATAACAAGAAATAGTTGTGTATACATGATATGGTTTGGGAAAGTTTGACTTTTGATAGTCAACCTTATATGAAGATGAACTAGGTGAATGTTTAGTAAAATAATTGTGGATTCATGATAATTTCATATAAGTTATGGTAATATAAGACTAATATATGAATTTGGTACAAAATGGGTTGGAGTTTAACTTGAAAAGGTGAAAAATGGCTATTTTCGAGTTTGAAAGTCTTGGTATAAGAACTGTTTTAGAAAAATCGTATAAAATAGTAGAAAAATCCTAAAAATATGTACAAATAGGCTCTGGAAAGGTAAGAAAAAGTTCTACAATTCATATTTGAAAGTTATTTAATGATTTTGAGCCTGTAAGGAGAAAACTAAAGTAGAAAACTTGAATTAAAAAAGGGTTAATTTTATGTTATTGTTGTGCATTGTTAATAAGACTTTATATATGAACTCCAGGTGTTATTTAAGCATAATTTAAGGCCTTGGAAGTGCTTTCCAACCACTGAACAGGAGTTAGGATTCGACTTTTTGGTTTGGTTTCAGGTTTGATCAACCGATTTCATTAAACAACATTGTGAGTTTAGGTGGACATATGTGTGTACTTTGTGATTATATATGCTATGATGTTTTATTGTTTATCCATGATTCACGTTAGTTCTAGATTATTACCTCGAATTGGTCTTATTGCTTGTATTGTTTTGTGGTGTGTTTTGGGCGTCGATTGTCGATATCCCATGGAGTCCGGGTGAGACAACCGGAGGGGCTGCCATACTCACTGCCCAGTAGGAGCCAAGGGGTGAGTATAGGACTTTGGCATAATCCGGAAGAAGAAGGGCGGATTTGGTGTCAAGTCTTATGTTTGTGTGTGAAGTTAATTAGTATGTGACCTTGCTTGATCTCGCGTATGATGTTGATTATATTGATGTTCTTTTTCTATGTTGAACATTCTTTTGTGATTCCCACGTTCAAAGTAGGTTGTTGTAAAGGACATCATGTGGTACAACTAAGTTGTTGTCGTGTTGTTATGCAAAATTTCTTTCGAGACCTTCTTTATTTCGTAATATGTACGCTTATATAACACATTGTAACCAYATTTTTCCACATAAATTCACTAAKCCATATAGCTTATCTTTTAGTGGTTTTAACTTTTCAGGGYAAATTGGCAAAGGCAAMAAAAMAAGGTCGGATGATCGATTAGGGATTGACGTGTAAAGCCTACTTTTGAGTTTAGGTATAAGTTATACTTTTGGGTWGTTCATAGTATGTATATTCCGGGTAGACATGTCCCCGATGATTATGTTTTTTTTTTGTTTTGTTAGCTATGTATTTATTAAGTCTTAAAATTATGTATTTTGGGTTGTAAATCGCTATCCCGTATCTTGTGGTTTATGAAACTAAAATTTATTTAATGAAGGTTGGAAGTGTTTGTTTTGTAATCGTGGTGTTATAGAAGGGGAAGAATTACTCAACCAGAAACTCACATGGAACATGAATTATCTGCACAGGAGAGTTATATGTTAGGTCCTGGAAGAGGTAGAGCAAGGGGTAGAGGTCGTGCTCATAACCCTGTTTTATTACCCAGGAAATGTTGGCAGCCGAATTGTGAAAATTTCAGAAAAATTTGGTAAATTTGTTGGGACATTCTGCACAAAATAATTCGGAAGGAGTAGGGAACCTGAATTTTCATGAAGAAGCTGGAGCTAGTACGCCGGTAACCACTACATCTGCACCGCCTACCTCGACGTCAGTACAAAAAGGAGGGGATATCAACATGTTTCTTGCTTGTAATCCCCCTAAGTTTTCTAGAGAACGTGACCCTGTTGTTGGCTTAAAGGAATTGAATTAAGTGTATAGACCAGTAAAAGTGCAGAAGAAGATAAAGTAATGTTTGTCGTGTCCAAGTTACAGTCAAGTGCACTATATTGGTGGGAAATTCTAACGAGTTCTGTTGATCACAGATCTCTCAATAACACTAATAAATAGATTATGAATAACCTAAATAAGTAGTGTGGATGAATAAAATGAAGAATACTCAAGAACAAAGAATGTGTATATTCAAAGCATATACTTGAGCATTAAAGATTCACTTTATAAAAAATAGAATGCATAGAAACTCACTTCAAGTCTTATTTTACAATAGGCCTAGCTACCTATTTATACTAGCGATAAGAAGATAAGTATCTAGTAAAACTATCTAGCCAATCTTCTAGGAAAGATAATGTTTATATAAAGTATGGATAAACAATAAATCAAGATAAACTTAAAATCCAGCTGTCGATTTGTTATCTCCAGCTGTCTTCCATGGGATGTTAATTCAATCTTATCTTCATATCTTCATCGCATGCCTCTGGTTGAACTGCTGAAGAAAACTCTAAGTGTTGTTAACCAGAGGGGTGATGAAGATGTTCTTCCCATCACGTCTTTGGTCGATTCATCGACCCTCTGGTTGTTCTCCAGACTTAGTCAATTMTGCCTTAACGTCTTCATCGGTCTTCTGGTTCTTCATCACTTATTGTTCTTCATTACTTTTACATTTATGAAACATGGGGTCTAACAATCTCCCCCTAAGTAATGA